GTGCCTTGCCCCCAAAGCCGGTACTGCTGCCAAAAAAGCTGGAGTTACATGATGGCTTATCATTCAGGTGATTTAAGAATGTTTACATACATAACCTATTGATTTTAGTCCTTTGATAATGTTGGTACTTGTAATATTGCTTCTTTTTAATTTCCTAAAATAATGTCTTACTGCTATCCATGTTTAAACTTGTAAGATACATCCATTAATGTTATGTTTCATGTATTGTAATGATTTTTTGCGTGATGGACATATGAGTTAAGACATGCATTATATTCTAATATATGTGTATCCCACTCCTCAGGGCTCAGGCTGAAGAGATGACCAGAGATTACCAGAGAACTTGATGACCTTCTACAGATGCAGTTGACTTGCATAGTTTTTTATTTTGACTTTCTTAATGTGTAAATCTCACTTTATGTGTTAACTTGTTGGCTGGATGTATGTATAAGCATGCTTTAACATCTTTAATATTGGGTAGTTTTTGTTATAAGCAAATATAATTTTTTAAGTTGTTGCATTTCGTGCAATTTAAATCTCAGTGGAAGTTGTTGTCCTTTGCAATTTTTGAGGCCTGTATAATCTAACCGACGTTGAATGTTTTTTTATATAAAAAAAGTGGACTTATTATGACGGTTATTAATAAAAACCGACGTAGTACATACATATTTAGACGGGGTTTAACGTCGGTTTTGTGTAATAACCGATGTGGTATATTTATTTATTTTCAGAAATAAATAAATAAATAATAAAAGTTATTTTAATTTATAAAAACACATGTTGGCAATTTTTCGGTGCTCGGAGCTGGTGGGGTACTGGTAGGGCTGGACTCGGTTCGGGCCGGGGCTGGTTCGGGCCTTGAACCGGCCGGGCCTCAGTTCACCAAAAGGAGGGCCCGGGCCCGAACCGGCAGGTGACCGGTTCCGGGCCGGTTCCGGGCCAGACCGGGCCGGTTCACCAGCCCCATTTTTTTTTTTTTGATTTTTTGGCTTTTCTTATTTAACCCCCTACCCCTCCCCCTCAACCCCAAACCACCTCAAATGACCCAAAATACCTAATCCAACCCAAAAATTAAAAAAATTTCAAAAAAAAATTAGAAAAAAAATTATTCCGGCCTGGACCGGGCCCGAACCGGCCGGGCCGGTTCACCAAATAGAGGGCCCGGGCCCGGAACCGGTATCCACCGAGCCGGTTCGACCCGAACCGCTGGTGGACCGGGCCACCGGGCCGGGCCGGTTCACACAGTAACCGGGCCGGGCCGGTTCCGGTTCGGGCCGCCTGGCCCGAGTCCAGCACTAGGTACTGGGGTTGGAAGGTTGTTGAAGCAGTAGAGGCTTGCATATTTTTTAATTTTATTTTTGAGTTTTTAATTTATATTTTTTTATGTATGTAATATTGTTTTTAATTTTACTTAATATTTATTTCTGTGTTTTTTTATTTTTCTACATTTTTATTATAAATTAAGTTAGGTTATTACTTTTATTTAATTATTAATGAAATATGAATTGTACTAAACAAAGCAAGGGTATAATTGGAAAGTTAGTCTTAATTAGGAATTTTAAAGTTACACTCATATTCTTGCAATTAAAGTTTCATTAAGTCATATTTGAGAAATTTCTCCGACATTTTTCTCTTTTCAGAAAACTTCAAAGAAAAGAATACAAACAAGTAGTCTGAATAAAAAAATATCAAAAGAGATTACAAAAAAATAGGAATACATAAAAAGGAAAGAAAATATTTAGGAAGGAAAAATAAAAATCTTATGTGAGATCGTTTTGAAAAGATTTGTAGAAGGTGAAATTTATGGTTTAATGATTTGCAAAGAAAATGAAGAAACTTAGAATAACAGATCATCAACCGGTCAGGGACAAATAAATTAAGATGTGGTGCAAAAGTTGGATTATTCATGGATTACAATTAGGTGAGACTGTTGTCAGAAAACAGCTACAAGGTGAGATTATTAATTTCCAATTTTTTTTTAATGTCTTAGAATTTTTTCTTTCAATTTGTGATTTAGAAGATGTTCTCTTCGTCTTATTCTTATTACTTATTGCTTATTCTTATTTTATTCCGATAAAAAAAATTCAAATCAGATTAGATCAGAAAGATTCAGATCAGATCAGAAAGATTCAGATCAGTTCAGAACAGATCAAAAACATTCAGATCAGATCAGAAATATTTAAATCAGATCAGAAAACTTCAACCATGATTTATCATTTTATTATTATATTAATTAGAATTATTATTATTTTAATTATTACATTATAAATAATAATAATAGTATATTAATAAAATATAGTAATAATTATTATTATTGTTTAATAATAATAATATAATAATATAAATAGTATATTATTATTATTGTTGTTGTTGTTATTATTATTATTAGGCTTTTTTCAAGAGTAATACTAAAATAAAACTTATTTACATAAATATGACTATTCGTGATTACAACGTAGTGTTGTGGTAACTTAAGTTCAAAACTTGAACATGAATTACAACGATTTCATTACTACTCTAGTAACTAGTCATATTTTTGTAAACCATCTTTATGTAATTAATCCTCCTCCCCCCTCCCCTCCCCCATCCCCCCTCCTCCTCCTCCCCCTCCTCCTCCTCAGAAACATTCTGACCAGATCAGAAAGATTCAGATAAGATCAAATCAGAAAAATTCAGATCAAATCATATCAGAACTTAAAAAATTGAGATCAGAAACATTTAGATCAGGTGAGGAGAACAACTTCTTACTCTGGGTTTGATTTATTAATCATTGCTCCCGACATTTGGTAATGTATATTTTTGTTTGTAAAATCTAATATATAATAAGTTACAAATTAGGGATATCTTTAAATATACTAAGCATTATTTTACATATTTAAATGTTACATAAGGTGCAACTAGTCGCCTAATTGTCGCCTAGGCGAGCACCTAGTTGCTTAGAGCATCTTTAATGAAAATGTGGATTGCATCATACATAAAGTGGACACATCACGTGTAACACTTGAGATTTAATATAAATGGATTAATAGTACTACTCATACCAACAGAGGTGCATCTCCTTTTAAGGGAGCTCGTTACCTAAGAACTCCAAAGTTAAGCGTGCTTGCTCGGGAGTAGTCTTGGGATGGGTGACCCCCTAGGAAGTTTCTCAGGGCGCGCATGAGTGAGGACAAAGTGCGCGGTAAAGGCTCGTGGTGGTTTGTGAGGACAGTACTAGAGGTCGGGAGTAACTACTTCGGGTCCTGCGGGCCCGGGGTGTTACAGGTGGTATCAGAGCAACCCTGCGACAGTGTGCTGATCCGTTGGATATCGGGCAGGCCCTTAGCAGGGGAAAAGATTCTGGAGTTTGATTGAGATTAGTTTAAGGGCGCAACGAGGACGTTGCGATCCTAAGTGGGGGTGATTGTAACACTTGAGATTTAATATAAATGGATTAATAGTACTACTCATACCAACAGAGGTGCATCTCCTTTTAAGGGAGCTCATTACCTAAGAACTCCAAATTTAAGCGTGCTTGCTCGGGAGTAGTCTTGGGATGGGTGACCCCCTGGGAAGTTTCTCAGGGCGTGCATGAGTGAGGACAAAGTGCGCGGTAAAGGCTCGTGGTGGTTTGTGAGGACAATACTAGAGGTCTGGAGTAACTACTTCGGGTCCTGCGGGCCCGGGGTGTTACATGACGTTTGTAGACGTCCTATTAAGCTTATGTGGACATAAACATAGTTTAAATAAATTTTCTTCTCCAATGGTGGCTTTGAGAATTAGTTTACTATTCATCTACCACATCTCCTCATCCTTGATTTACGGCTAAAAAATGCTGATTATTATTTAATATTTTGCAAAAGTCTTTTGCTAATTTTCTTCTCCAAAAAATAATCTGAAAAAGATATGTTGGGTTAATGGCCCAACATAGAGGTCAGCTCATTACCCTCTCTTAATTTAAGGCCCTAAGGCCCATCGAGGGAGAAGGTGGGACGAACGTCTCCAGTCTCCAAGTCCACCAGGGAGCGTTTACCTTCAACGACGCACGGCTCCAAGGGCCTTAGTCATAAAGAAACATCCACGAGTCTACTAGATGAAGGCCCATGATCAGGAGGAGGTACGGCCCCAGAGGCCTTATGCGTGAGGGAATATCCAGAAGACGCTCGAGTTCAGACCTTGGCATCAAAACCAAAGGAAGGCGCCAAGGTCAGGGGGATGTACGACCTTGGGACCTTAGTATTAAGGAGTCACCCAAAAGACGTACAACTTCGGCCCCTTGGCACCGCTACCAGAAGAGACCCCATGACCACGGGGACGCTCGTCCCCATCACTTGGCGGATAGCCAGGATTGTGGCCAAGAGGTACGCAGGATACGCACAGCTTGAGCTCCTTGACTCATCTCCAAGAGAATGTGTGACACCGCACCCGTGTGTACCCGAATTTACTATTCGAAAGTTTCGCAATTGATGTTTTGAACTTGTTATTACCAGCCGTGTGTAACACGTGTGTTATCTTATGTAACTCATGCTTTGACATTGTGTGAAACGAGTAGTGTTTGATGTAACTTGTGTTTGTTAATTTATCGTTGGGATCCGTGTTTCGTGAGTGAGTTTCCAAATACTGATGTGGGCCATCTTGGTTAGTATAAGAGCCCGATATTATATGGAGAGAAATCACATTACGAAGACACAAATAATAACACTCAATTTTCCTCCGTAAGGAATTATCGGTAAGGATTTTCCTTCCGGGCCGACTTGGACTGAAGGGGGTGCGTCCCACACCTCCTTGGCACTTACGAGACAAAGAGAATATTGTATGTTGACTTTTGGGGCGGACCATGATGGAGTGGGGTTGTGTAGAGAATAAAATGATAAGGGTTGGACCCCATTTGTACTTATTTAGTAAGACTTGGTGGAGAATCATCCACACCTCACTCAACCCACTCCACACAAAAGGAATAACCTTTTGGGAGGCCTAAGGGTCAGCCTTAGTACCCCCCATTCGAATTTACTTGACTTCTAAGAGAAGAGAACCGATCAGAACAAAGAAAGAGAGAAAGGAGAGAGCAGTTCGCAGTTTTCGTCACTGTGCGTAGGGTTGATTGTTCAGCCCATATCTTGAGCTTCACTCGTTCAAATCAGGCGTGTGAGGTGTCCAGAGAAAGATCTTAAAACAAGGATTCTGGAATGGTGTAGATCGCGACGATCGGAGTTGAGGAAGGCTTCCAAATCTGCGTTGGAAAGTACGACCCTGCAGCAGGGTTTCTTCTTCTCTAGAGGTGAGTTGAACCCGAAAACTTCCCTTTCTTTACATAGATCGTATGTAAGGTTTAGGAGGTTATTCCACTTTGTTCTTAGGGTAGAATGTATTCTTTAAATGTTAGACATGTGAGTTTAAAGGTTAGGCACTAACCTTAAATGAACCTTGAACGGTTAGGTAGTGAACTTGCCGGGGAACACCTCTTCAAGAGGACTGTTTAGTTTCGTGGCAGGAGGGTGGAGCCAGCTGCTGAGAGCCGGCTGCTGAGCCAGCTGCTGAGAGAAGGCTGCTGCCCACTCATTTTTTTAACGCAAGGAGTTAGCTCGCAACCTTCCTTGGCCGAGCCTTGGTCGTTGGAGCGTGAAAGGAAGTCTAAAGCTCTTTAAGGTGAGGACGACATCTAGTTGCTTACAACTTGTAGGTTATGCATGAGATTACCTAAATGCTTAAATCATGTTTTCATAAATAAAGATGATTGAACATGATATGAATGATAAGTAATGGACTTGATCATGAATTGAAACCATATCGATGATTGTGGGGTAAATGAGGTATAAATGTGCTATTATGTTAAATAGACATTTCTAACTCATGTATGAATGATATGTGTATGTAAGTGAATAATTGCATGATGATGATTAGCACATGGGAGGCTGCCACATATCTATAGATATGCAGGGGCTACCATTATAATTAAATGAGTTGTATTGAATGATCTTAATAGTAAAGACATATTAGTTAAGGATTGTTCGAATTGTTGATAGAATCAAACCTGTTGGTCCCGTTTGATATGGTAATCAGTCTAGAGGGGGGGGGGTGAATAGACTGATTGGTTTTTCAACTTTTCTCCAAGTCCAAAATGACTTAACAGAGAAGGTCTGATTCTGGTGACAGAGAGAGGCTGGTTCTGATATCAGAACTGGCCTTGGCAGCGGATTCTGATCTGTCCGGGTAGCCTCAGAAATACTAAGGCAAATGCCTTTCTGATAACTCTGAGAACAAGATCTGCTGAACACAGATTCCAAGTCTTAGAGTTAATCAGTTAATATCCTAAGTGCAGAAATATAAAATGCAGTAGAGTAAATGACACCGGATATTTTATAGTGGTTCAAGGAACAACTCGTTCCTCTAGTCCACTGTTCCACTAGCTTTGAAGTAGATCGGTTACAAAGCTAAATCCTAGCTCTTAAGAAGCACTCCTCGTCTTCTTCAAGCCTAGATGCCACCCAGGATGCAGTTCCACGTCCTGATGGCTGGTCCTTTCACTCAGCTTCCCGGAAGTATCACCACTTCACTACTGCAGTTACTTGGACGCCCTTCTTTTCAGAAGATCCTTTTGAAAAACAGAGTTTTTCCTCCAACTTGCTTCGTCACAAATGATGTTTGATGAAGTTCTTGAAGAGTTGAAGAACAGGATGAACTTTGCTTGTTTGTTGGGGATGAGAGATTTTTAGTTTGAATCTTCCCAACGTAAGCTTGTCTTGTTGAAGGTTGTTAGAATTTGAATCTCAAGAGAGCTTGAATGATGATGAGCAAAAGTTGTAGCAAAGTTGTATCCCTGTTCTTCGGTGAGTAGCTTATATACTGGGGTTGTCTGCCCGTTGGAGGAGGAGACAACTGCATTAAATGCGCGTACAGTTGACTTGACCGCCGTTTTGGAAGGTTTCTATTTTTATAATATATCTTCCCGGATTCCTTGGTCAATCATTTGCAATCAATCCTTTAGCGTATCAGGCTCATTTAATGTGCATTAAATGCTTTCCTTTCATGCACAGTCTTCTAGCCGTTGGATGTTGCTTGAAATCTTCTAAGTGTTAGTCGGGCTCTGATCAGGCTCTTCTGATGTGTTGGATTCTGATGGCCTTCTGATGAGTTGAGTTCTGATGGCTTTCTGATCTCTGATAGAACTCTAACTCTGGCTCTGATAGGTCCGCTGATGAGTACCTCTGATCTGTAGTTCTCATCGGTTATCAGATGTCCAAGTTTATCAGCAACTCTCATAGTGCAACTCTGATGGACTTCTTCTAAGAGAACTCTGATGGAGCAGTTCTCATAGAGCAAGTCTGGTCGAGCAGTTCTGATGCACTTCTGATCTGATCAAAATAGAGCAACTCTGATCGTCGACTACACTAATACTTACAATTGAAAATTCTAATACATAAAATCTAATTTGGGGGTACTTTAAAATTCTAATCCTATAGCATCATCAAAATCTAAATACATTTATTCCTTACAATTTCCCCCTTTTTGATGATGCCAAAACCCTTAAACTATCTCCAGAGAAGTGCCTTTCACCATAAAGAAAATAAGAAAAAAAATAAACTTTTATTTAAAATCTTGGTGGGCACTTGGCATAGGAGAATAGTAAGAGTAAGATACAATCAATCAGATAAATAAGATAAGAAATAACACAAGATATCAGAGCATAAATAATCAGAAATAATTTGAAATTGCCATGCAAAATAGAGGCAAGCAGGTCATCTTATTAAGGAAGGATATTTAAAGCAACAAGAGGATAGAGTTTTAGATATCTTCCTCTTCTAGATCAGCTTCCTTTGCCTCAATTTCCTTCAGATCAGCATTGACCCTAGCTCTAATTGTAGCAAGATTCCTGGGATTCTGATATTCTGACCAGGCAGGTTCAAGTTGGCAATCTAGATAGTTTCTGATGGCTTCAGATAGGTCCTTGCCAGGGATCACTTTCAAACGCCACCAGTCTTCTGCTTCTTGCATAGACCCACCATGGTTGATTATTATTAGCCCATCTTTATCCTGAATGAGATTCTCTTGTTGAGTAGGGGTCATATGCTTCTTCATCTCTCTGAATTGAGCAGCATCAGGTTTAGCCAAGTCACTGTTGAGCCATTGGGCCAAAGTGAAAGTAGAGGCTGTCTTCTTCCCTTTCTTAGACCGAGGAGGAGGGGGTCTTTGAATGCCAGCAGCTAGCCTCTTTTGCCTTGCTCTTTCAAAGTACCTAGCAGGGTTAATGGCTCTGGAGCTTGGGCCTTCTGCTTCTCTGGGAGGTGGGACAGGTTCTCTGCTATCTTCCCCCTTTTTGGCATCAACAAGATCACCAAGCAGGAGTCCAATTTTCGAGAATTCTGTAGCATTGCTCTCTTTTATAGCTTCAAGGGTACCAGGTAGAGTCTGGGTTACAGAGGCCAGCCCTTCTATCAGCTCCTTTTGCTTGCCCACTGCTGATTGAATATCCTTGGTAGTAGCTTCAAGGAGAGTCAACTTGTGATCTCTGTCCTTTCCACTGTTTATCAGTTTGATGTCAAATTCTTTCAAGGTCTTGCAGATGTCCTCTACATCTGTGAGTTGCTCAGCATGCTTATCAGAGGACCATTGAAGATCATCCACAGCATCAGACAGCTCCTTAATGGCCTTGTCTTGAGCAGAGAGGGTCAGAGATTGAGAGTAGAGGACAGTGTGTACACTGGCTACTTCAGATGCAATGTTGTCTACCTTTTCATTGGATGTCTTCATGTAGCTAAAGAATGTAGTCGACAATTGTGAGAGGGCGTTGGAGATTTTCTCAAGTCCTGACTCAATGTTGTACTGTACCAAATCAAGATGAGCATCATGCTTCTGATTTAGTACAAGTAGCTTGTTCAGGCCAGCCACCATCTGATCTCCAAAGTCCTCTGCTGATTCCACAAATTCCTGGAAGGGAATGAGGACAGCTTTGGGTGGTTCTGGCTGAGGTACTTGATTGATTTGAGGTTGAGGTTGAGTTTGAGGTTGGTCAGGAGATAGAGGAGGAGTAGGAGTCTTTCTCTTTGTAGATTGAAGATCACCAGCCATTGAAGCTGTGAGAAACCCATCATTATCTTCAGTTGAGGAAAGAATCCTTACAACTGGCTCTCTCTTTTGTGCTGAGGCAGCAGAATGCTGAGGGGAGGGACAGTTAGATGTAGGCTTCTGCTGAGGAGAGGGAGATTTGGATTTCTGATGGTTGAGGCTCTGATGGGGTGAAGTCTGAGGGATAGGAGTTCTCTGATGATGTGATGGAGGAGGAGGTGAGGGTGATCGGCTTCTGATGGGGGTTATCTGATGGCAGGGTGAGGGTTGTTTTGGTGTGGAGGATTTCTTGGGTGTTGGAGATGGGATTTGCTGAGGTTGAGGAGGAGATGGGGGTGGAGTTGTGGTTGGTGTGACTGGTTTAGGTGAGGGGGATTTGGGAGGTGATGGGATTGGGACAGGAGAGTTAGGAATTACCTCAAGAACAGTTTCTTCAAACTGAGAGTCTCTCCATTCTCTGATAAGGTTCATCATTGCCAGAGATAGGTCATTGGCAGTTGATGGCTCTCCCTCTGTACCTGGAATCGGTTTCATCTTGATTAGAGACTCCCTCCTTTTCTTTTCCATCAGCCAGGCATCAAAGGCATCCCTCTCATGATCTTCTAGAGCCTTGACAGGTCTCTCTGTTGAGGTTGTAGGTACCTTTTCCTTTCCTTTGTAGTTTACCTTCTTCTTTTCAAGGATAGATTGCAGATATTGGAGGTCAAAGCACAAGGAGATATCATCAGTACCTGTCCATTTGAGGACTTCAGCTTCCTCAGATTCAAAAATGGCAGCTTGGGCAAGAATTTGTTGCAGAGGTCCCATTCTCCACTTCCTCCATGTTAGCACCCTTTGGAATTGTCTCTCAAGAGCAGAGATGGGATCTACCTCAGGAATCCCAGTTGAGGAGGTGGGGTGCTCTGGTGGAGATATGGTGACTTGCAGTGCTGATTCAGAGATGGGTAGGATCTCTGATTCAGGTTCCCCCTGAGCATCAGAGATCACCAGTGCAGTATTCAGTTCTGGTGCTGGTTCCCCCTGAGGTTCTGACTCCTTGGGGGGTGAGAGAATCTTCTTCTTCTTCTTTGCCACTCTGATAGGAGATGTGGAGCTATCAGAATCACTCTGAATGATTGCTTTTCTTCTCTTTTTCTGGCTCAACTTCTTGATAGGAGTGATTTTGGGTGGGGCAGCAGCAGCCACAGGTTTGATAGCCTGCTTCTCCCTGTTTTGCTCAAGCTTGTTGGATTTCTTCAGTTCAGCAGCAATGGCCACGTTTACTTTGGGAGAGATGGTGAGGAAGATGGTCTTTGTGTGGTCCACAGAGGTGGCTTCTCTGAGAGCTATCTTGGAGTTAGAGATGAGTCTGGAGATCAGAAGTCCGTGACCCATCTTTGTAGAGAACATACCAGTCTTTTTCTCCTTCTTGGAGATGGATTCAGAAATGGATTGGAACAGCACTTTACCCCAGTTGATGTTCATCCCCCTGTGAACAGCATACAGGGCTTTGGAGTTGGTGTGATTCATCTGATCGGTTGAACTTGTTTTGCACCACAAGCACCGATGCATAATGCTCATCAGCCTCTCAAAGTCCTTCTTGA